TGTCCTTTTATACTTTTGCTGACATTTGGGCCATACAAAGGCTCAAACCCTTCATATTTTACCAGGATACATGTATTAAGCCTAACGTAATGTCATCCTTCGCCTAGTTGGAAATCTCATCAGGCTACAACCATCAGATGATGGGTTATGCATTTGCACAAGGATGATTTTGGCATCATGTACCGAAAAAGATGAATGTTTGGTGGAAGCAAGATTGGTGTCACTTAATCTTTTGTTAAAGAGATCCACGTAAAAAGTTTTACACGGGCTCCTCGGTTCCTTAAAGGGACTTTTACACTACGCCTTACGCTCCACTCAACCAATTGTATTTACTTTCGACAGCCTCTTTGGTCATCCGCAAGGTGATTGGTACTCCTGACCTCTTCGAAAGGACCCAGGGGTTACTTTTAGTCTCTAAGATGAAATTAGAAGCGGAGTCTACGTTTGATCATCGTTTGAGTATCTAGAGTTGGACACTGAAGCACGCGAGAGGGCAAACGGAATTAGTCACAGTTTCGTGTGTGTAGGCGTTCGAACAAATGCTTATTGCTGGAGGACATAAGGGGGTGGAGTGACAAAAACTCCCATGCAAAGTGTTGTAGCGCATCATGGCGGATGTCACTCCTGTGGAACACAGTGTAATGTATACTGTAACGTCTCGAGACCTCCTGGCCTGATAAGAAGTCAGTAAGTGCAGCTGGATATATGTAATCTTGTAATACTTTGTTTATGTGACTATCGGACGTTAGGCGGTCACTTTAGAATTTGTCTGGCCCCTGTACACGTGGACTGTCCTTCGAGCCACGCTCAGACCCCATTTGCCCTTTCGTCTTCGGAATACATGCATCTAACCTCACTTATGCCTTCTTCCACCCTATGGGAAGCCTCGGGACGCATCAATACTCCTCCACTTTCGTATTTCTGTACACGAGGGATAATAAACCTTCCTTAGACAACTTCCTCATGGGCAGAAAGGTCCTACACAGAGGAATGGAGTAAATGCCAAAAGCTCTGATCGTCGGAAACCAGTGGCAGCTGTATAGAAGTCGTAACAAAGTTGCGTAATACCTTGTTTTTTGTTGCTGACTGAAATGGACTTGGACTTCGGACTAAGCTCATGAGCACTTCCTTTGTCCTCTTTGAAATACACGCGTTCAGCTCCACCTAATTTCTTCTACTGGGTGGTAAGTCTCGGGACGCTACAAGTTGCATTCGCATTTTTCTAGCAACGGTATACAGCACGGAGTTTATTCATCAATTATCAGAAGGTAAAATACAGAAGTTGAATACAGGTATCTCGAGAGTTCAACCCACACGAGGGGATTAAGGTTCCAATAATGATAATTACCACTCATTCATATGTTCAAATAAGCGAGTTATTATGAAGTTATATCGACTAAGTTCGACCACAATCCTGTTAATGCAAATTCGGTAATAATCTGGCCCTTCAAACACACTTCATTCTTTAGAAATAAGCATTTTCACCCTATGCGTTGAACTACACGTGGTTTATTTATTGATTCAAAGATCATTTTGAAACTTAAAAGTCAGATACGCAATACACTTTTACATCATCGGTTAGTTTGTTTTAGCTGGCGTAGTTGGCTGCTATTCAAACGTATTTGCTTCCTTCATCATTCTTTGGTAGGTGGGAGTCAGTGTCGTGGTGCTTCTGGTTTGTAACCTTTTATTTTTCAACTTTTCGATGTTTACATAGGGTTGTCGATTTGTCCAGCCATCATTTTCGTCCTTACATTTCCTTTCCTGGTTTAATGTATTTTTGAAACAGAAAATGGAGGAGAATGATCAAACACAAGCTGGTCCTCATCTGTGTCGCAAGGGATGTGGCTTTTATGGAAGCCCAAACTTTGATGGTTTTTGCTCAAAGTGTCATCGAGATATGCAAGAGGCAAACAAGCACGGTAACTCAGTTCCTGGCGACTTTGGGGAAGGCATTTTGAAGTCAGGTAGATGGATCGCTTTTAGCCGACGGCGCTTTATGTTCGTGATAATAAATCGTCTTTATTTATAGCCAACACCGTTGTGTTCAACCCTTATGCAGCATCGAATTCAACAGATTCTGTAATGAATCAGGGGACTGAGGCTGCTGAAAAGTGTTCTGTTTCTCCTCCATTTAAAGACGCATCGGATGACTCAAACAAAGCCAGTCTCCCAGTGAAATGCTCGACCGTCAATACCGGTGAAACAGAAACTACCTCAGGTAGCATTTTATTTTTTCCATTACGACTGATTAAATTTAGGTGCAAATGAATCAGCGGCGAAAACTCGTCCACGTTGTATGGTGTGCAATAAACGAGTTGGTCTTACTGGCACGTTCCTTTATTTTGTTTTTGGCTAAGAAGTTCTATGGGGAATAACTATCTTGATGAACACCTAATTTCGAATTCACAACTTTTCTCTGAATTTTCCTTTCATCTCGGTATTTACCATTCGCAGGTTTTACATGCCGGTGTGGCGGTTTGTACTGTACAGTTCATCGATATTCTGATTCGCATGACTGTTCCTTTGACTACCGAGAATCGGGTCAAGCAGACATCCGCAAGGCGAACCCTCAAGTGATTTGTTCAAAAATTAACAAAATATAAGGATATTTGGTGGTTTTATCCCTGCTTCCCGTATATCGGTCGTTCTCTTATCATCGCCTTTACACCTTGTGTGGCTACTATTATTCGCACATCTGACTATAGGTATATACTCATGTTCTTTAGTCCCTTGGTTGTAAAACATTGATGATTTGAAGGTAGTTTGATTGTTTTGATGCGCTTCTGGCATCGACGACCGACTTGACCGCTGTTGGTGTTGAAGTGCAATTTCCCTTTTTCACAAATTCCTGTCCATTGTACACACATTTCCTTATTTTCAACTCAGTAAATTGTCGCTCATTTGACTTGTGGGCTGATTGTTATGCTCATTGCTATTCGTTTAGTTTGCGTCGTATGTGCCAAAACACAATAGCTTCAGCTGTTCTTCCACCTTTTAAAGTTGGTGGCATAGCTAACTCGTCGGATTTGCTCTTAGATCATCAGCTACGGTGGACACGATGAGCTGTTGGGCTGCTTTACTCTATTCCGGCTTTTGCTGCACCTCATTTGACGCGTCAACAACAGTACTAATTTCTCCTATGGGAATCAGTCGACTACGCGCTTGATAATCTGCGTAGTTGGGCTTGTTCGGATGGCCTGTATCATTGGGTCGTTTTGTTGAATGCTGATTGTTTCCCGCTGGTCTAAACCTATTATAAGCAGTTGCGAGTGTGTGGAATCGAAACAGCATCCATTTCGTGGCTATCATATAAGTGGTTCTCTTGAGGGCATTTTGTATTACACACTTGGGGGCGGCATATGTGCCACCGGTTGCTTTCTTTCCCTTCTTTCGTGGGCGAGCGGCCACGCGAAAGCTAAGCCACATGACGGAATCAATAGGCGTGCGAACACGTAGCTGCCGTGTGCGTGCGCATACTCCGTGTGACGTCACACCCGGTGCTCTGTCGTGCGCGCATACAAGACTAGGCCTACTACGGGGCGCATACACTGATGCACTCGGTAATGCACAGACTCCCGTCCTCCCGTCCCGTCACTGCATCTCGGTCATACAACCAGGAAGGAATTATGACTTCAAGTAGGAGTCCATGATTCTTAGTTCACTTTAGAGGGTATTTCGCTTTGGGCATTCGAGATGAAGGCCCTGCTCGTCCTTGCCAGTCGAGCATTGACCAATGTGATCGAGAATAGGTGAACTATTAACAGACTTGTTTGTTCATGGTTGTAATGGAGTCAGTCACTTACAACGACTTCAGTTTGAGCACTCAGCACTCGGTGAATTTCTATACTAACTACAATTGGATGCTCACTCTACAGGTAGTCGTACGAATCGGACCATGACGTGTTGTGGCGTTCACTATTTACATGGTTTCTTGAGCTGAGGGTAGCTGCTAAAACCAATGGGCCGCTATTCTTACTAAGACGCTTGAGGGGAGAGGCATTTCCCAGTTTTACTCTCGATGCATCATTTAGGGGCAGGGTCAAAAGGAGGTGCAAATAACTGCTTGCTATTTCTCAAGCTGTCCGATGTCCGTGCAATCGTGGCGAGGCTTATCAGACGAAGGGTTTAACGGTGAGTCCTGTGTTCTCTGTATCATGAGATGCTGAGCACATGGCCAAGATTCTTTTCAGGACCAGAAGTTTAACTCTACACATATTTAATTTAAAGCCTACCAGAAGTAATGTTCCAAAGGTAAGCTGGTTTAATAATCCTGAAAAAATGTGTGTTTTTTCGGGAAGTCATGTTAACGTCAAGTGTCTCCAAGCTCCACTTCACAATGTAGTTGATGCAACGGATATTTTTCATTCATCAAGTCTAACTTCTCTTCATCGGTTGTCAGAAAATGCTCTGATGCTTGTTTCTACTTCTTCCAAGGAGAGAAATCCAGCACCGCTTTATTTCGGGATTTGTGACTCAGTTGGTATGCAAATGAAACCCCACGGATTGTTGCCGTTGTGGCGTCGAAAATCTCCCTCACCCAATTTCTTGAAGGATCAG